AGGTGATTATTCACTGTTCTGAGTTGTAGTTGTTAGGGATTAATGTGAGATTATTGATGGGATATTTTAGTTATAATAACGAATAAGAGCATAGCATGGGATGATCAATACCTACAAAAGAGAATCCTGAAGTGTTCATGATCTCAGAAATGCAGCACCTCCTAAATTGGACAACAAGATGTTACTTGTAGCAATGGACTTGTATTTGGTATTTTATGTTCTTACTTGTTATACAGGAAAACGGGGTGATAGTCGTCGTTTATGAGATAATGTTTTTTCAGCTGGTTTTCGTTGTGGAAGTATTGTTTCTGTTCTGTCCCGTGTTGCTCATAACCCAACCCAAGAAACGGTGCTGCATGCAAATTTTCAGTTTCCAGTCACAAGTGTTTTTTAGTGTTCTAAAGAATGTAGTTACTGAGTTACCCTTTGGCCATCCATTAATTACTATAGTTTTATATAATACGAAATCTTCACTATTCTGAATGAATAATAGATTTACAGAACTCTCTCCAAAAAAATAGATGTAGAGGAAACTAAATCCCTAAGAATAAGAAAATAAAAAGATAGATAATTATACATTATTTGAGAACTCTATACATATATACATACAAGAAGAATTCTCTTCAAAAGGGGTTTATACATATATGTTTATGCATATATACATACAAGAATTCTCTTCAAAAGGAAACTTCATTCTCAGAATAAGGAAACTATATCCCTAAGAATAAGAAAACAAAATGAAAGATAATTATACATTACTAGTATTTGAGAGTATATATTTATCTAAATCTACACCCCTCAAGTTGAGAGCATATATGTCAATTAAACCCAACTTGCTGATGGTCCCATCAAAGCTAGGTTTGAATAGTCCTATTATGAGGATGTCTGTCACTTGTTATGAAACATATAGTATGCATAAACTACTATACTTTCAATCTTCTCTTTGATAAAGTGCCTATCAATTTTCACATGTTTAGTTCTATCATGTTGTACGGGATTGTTGGCAATGCAAATAGCAGCCTTATTCTCACAATACAATTTTATAGGACTTTCTAGAGGTAGGTGAGGTTCATTTAGTACTCCATTGAACCAAATTCCATCACAAATTCATTAGGGAAAACTTCACAAGTAGACTAAAACGTAAGAGTAATATCACTTTTGTTCACTTTTAAAATATCTTTCAAAAATAGGCTAGTTAAGTTTCTGTTTTCAAAAATAGACACATCGTACATGCTCCGTAGTCCGTATAACCAAGCTACTGGAGTGCATGCTCCAGAGGAACGTGCGTGTCTACTAGGTTTCCTTTCTAGTGTCTACAACCTATTTGTTAAATTTATCGATCTTCATGAATTACTCTGTTCACGCTTTTTAATTGAAAAAATGTAAATATTTATTAAACTGTAAAAAAGATGAACATAATTAAAAATTAATAAAAGTATAAATATGAAATAAAATCAAAAAATAATAAGATCATGAAATTAAAGGGAAAAAAATCAAATAATGCATAATAACAAATCGAAGGTGAATACCTGTAATCTAAAAAATGAATATAAATTTCAAAATAAATCAGAAAAATGTTAACATATATATAGACAATTGAATATAAAAATTTTCAAAATAAAAAATGAGAAAGGATTGAAATAGTTTATAAAGTGGAAAAAATAGTGATGTTATTTTTATAAACACTTCATATACCCCTTAATTTGTATAAAAGTATGTATGAGACAATCACAAATACAAATAATTGAATCTTTTATAAATTAAAAAAATGAAAATATCTAAATAAAAACGAAAAATGAAAAGACGAAAAACTTTCTCAATAAAATGAAATAATAAAAATTAAAATATAAAATGTCCAGAATATTAAAATAAAAAATAAAAATTAAAAAAATGTTTTTAACAATATTAAAAAATTACATAAAGCTACTAAAAACTCTTGTGAAACAATTATTATTTCAGAAAACCAAATTGGTATAAAGCATAAAAAATTATAAATTCAATCAATAAATAAAGAAATTTTACAAAGTTTTTTTTACTGGAGAAATTTAACAAAGTTAAAAAATCAAAATAAGTGTTATGAAATAAAGTAGAAATAAAACATTTTTTAGAAAAAAAATTAAAAAGAAGAATCTGTATCAAAACGAAAAAATGTAAAAAATGAAAATAAATCTAAAAAAAGTTAACCATTGCCACAGTTGAAAAAATTTAAAAATATGAATCTTGTAGTTCATTTTTTAAATGGTTATAGAATGTAGCAATAGTTATTATATAATTTTGTCATTTATTTTCTTGCCTATTGTTTCTTTTTGTTGATAACTTTGAACTTTTTGTTTCTGTATGTATCCTGTGGCTAATTTTTATTCAAAAATCCTAATTTATCATTTTAGGTGATTGTTGATAACTCTGTTTTTTTTTACTTTAAAGAAGTAGCAAAGATAAACATGAATCTTAATAAACAATAAAAAATCAAAATCACTTATAAACAACAATACGCAACATGATGCAATAAAAGCAACACAACGCAACAAAAAGCAACACTTCTGGAGCAACAAAAAGCAACACAACGCAACAAAAAGCAACAAAAAGCAACACTTCCGAAGCAACAAAAAGCAACACAACGCAACAAAAAGCAACATTTCTGGAGCAACAAAAAGCAACACAACGCAACAAAAAGCAATACTTTTGGAACAACAAAAAGCAACGATAATATACAAAGGGCAATCATCATATAATATAAATAGATTGCACTAGTAGTCACCCGTTAGCATGAGAACTTACACAACCTAATATATACATGTAGGGATTTATATAAAAATCTGCAAAATTATTGTTCTGTCCTTAAAAGAACATATGATACCTCTAAAATGAAAAAAGATGTTCTTTCAAAATACTCCAGAATGAACACAAACTAATGAATTGTATAATAATAACACATCGGCATCTGATAAAACAATAACATGCACATGTGAGTACTGAAGCCCATAGAAATACAAACAAAGTTAGGAAATGGTTCTTTGGCAGCATGTTAGATCCCCAAGAGGTTCAGCACATCCAAGCAAGAGGTTTAGCTCTTGCTTTAGAGTTCCAAAGCTTGACCTTGATCCTGTTGCATCTTAACCCTAAATACAACAATATATCACACAAGGTCTTTAAATCACAACAATATACCATTTCAAGTGATGTCATATGGTAAAGGACATAAGATAAGCAAAGAAAGCTAAAATCTCTAGTTACACATGTTCACAAGAAGCATTTCATCAATCAAATGCTCATTGTTTGGGAAGCCCCTCCCCTCTTTCCCTTACCTACAGTGGAAAAGCAATTCAATAGCAAACAAATATACATTAACACTGACCATCACTACCTAGCTATTGATAACTTCCTTTTGTAGTTCAGAGTGTATTATTTTTTCTGTATGGTTCATATAATATTCACTTCATGCATAAAAGCACAAAGAAAATTAACCTCGAATTCCTATACTTAGAACCAAAGCAACTGCCAAACCACCATCCAAGCCCCATTCCAATGCCACAGGCCCCGCCTTTATTACAACATTTGAAATTTGGTAGAATGGATTAGTTACTGATTTCTCATAAATAGTAATTTGAGTTCAGTATGTAAAACTATTGGTTTGATAGCATCTTTACTGACAACAAGAACTAAGGAATTCATCTGCATCTGGCCAAAACTCCACCCTGGCTGAAGCCGCCGCTAGTCCCTAATCTGATTATGGCTCCGTTGAAGTTTATAAGCACAGTAATTGAAGGGTTTCAGGACCTTCAAAAATTAAAAATTATGAGAGTAGTCCCCATTTTCAATACAGAAGACAATTTAAAATAAATTTCCTTTGTAATTTTCTTTAATCATCTAATGTTATCAAAATCATTTCCGACATAAAGGAATATTAAACAAGGCATAGAAAATGAATCAAACAGATTTCATTCATGAATGTAATGTAAGGAATTATAAGTCACACGAGAACAAAATAAGACATACGGAGTATATATCTATATAAAAAATCCTTTACCTCATTAGTTTAGATGATGGAGTAGATTTATACCGAGTATTAAACATGTATGAGAGCCTGAAAATTTATCCAAACATGAAAGCTGCTTCAAGTGATTAAACTGCATATCTCTGGCACTCTCTATTTCGCACTTGGTGAGAGACAACTGGGTTGAAATTCGTCCATCTTTGCTAAATTTTGGCACCAAAGTGATAGAATTGAAGCCTGACGGCGGTGGATTCGAGAAGCGACGACGACTGACCTAGAAGCAGTGGAAACTGGGTTGAAATCCGTCCAACTTTGCTCAATTTTGGCACCAGAGTGAATTGTAGACCAACGGCGGCGGAGCCGAGAAGCGACGGCACAGACCTAGAAGAAGCGGAGCTATTGTCGAAGGCGTAAGGCTTACATCTCCGTCATGGTTGGAGAGAGAGAGAAACGACCGTGGAAGAGAAAGCTACGAGCAGGAGAAGAGATTATTTGGGGCTCTATTGAAGGATTTGAAGTTTAGACAAATTTGAAATAAAAAATGTTAAAAGTGAAAAGTGAAAAGATTAGAGATGAAAGAAAAAAGAACGTGTGTCATAAATGAAATACGATGAGCTAAAGTAGCTCATTCGGGTAATTTCCACAATTCATTAGCCATAGCACAAAATTATGCTTCATCACTACTATGAGAGTACGAGCCACCACAGTTTGCTTCTTACTACGTCAAGTCACCAAATTTCCCCTGTATAGACTATAGGGTCATGTAAACCTTATCCATAATATCATTCATTCAATATCATGTTCAAAGTAAGATTTTTTTTTATCGTTGTTCAAAGTAAGATTGAATGGTGTAACATTCAAAGTTTTAGAGTTATTAAATAACTAAAGAAATATATAGCTTGGATTCAATAATCCATCAAGAACTATATCCTAATTTGGACAAAAAAAAAGAGATCAAATATCATTAAATACATTGAAATATCCCCATTTTATTTCGTATTCCCGTCATTTCACAATTCCACACACAACCATCTACCCCTCTTCTTTCCTGCTTCAAGACACAATCATGTACATGTCCAGTTATCCACCGCAGCAACGCCACTAACGAAGGATTCTTCTCCTCTCACTGAATCAAGGTAACCGGTCCACGTATAAACCCCAATTTAAGATAGATGGATCCCATGTAAAATATATGTCTCAGTATTTTTCAAAGTGTTACATCTTTTTTATTGATACTCCAACTTTTACAAAATATATAGGGAAAAGGGGCAAAAATGACCCTAATGTTTTACTTTAGGTGGAAATATGACCCTAAACTATTTTTGGGGTGAACCAGGTTCAAAAATTACGTTTTTTGATAATTGAGGCCCCTCTCCTCACGGTGCCGATTCTTTTAACGCAAAGGCCTACAGAATAAGCCTACAACATACGAAGTACCTCCATAATTAAAATTGAGCAGCATCTTTAGACTAAAACAAGCTCAAAGACCCTTTTGTATTTTCGACAACATACTAAGCCTACTGTATTTTTTATAGTGAGCAGGGGTTTAGACCCTTTTGTTTTTCTTCTTAGATGCAGTGTTGAACTTTGAAGATTTAGAGTGCCTTCCATACAAATCTTTTTGACCGTACAAGAAAGTAAGAGGTGCAATATAGTTTGTATTTCATTTTTGTATTTTCTTCTTAAATCTGGAATTTTGGATGATTTATTATACTCCCTCTGTCCCATTTTATAAGATATTTTTTCTATTCACTTGGTCAACACAAATCACTTTTAATCTCTTATTTTATATATCAAAATTTTATGAAATTTGAATTATTCCTTACAGCCTTTGTAGCGATTTTAATGTAGTTTCTGAATATGTAAATTTTATTTTCTAAAACTAATTTGAGTGTTGACAGGGATCAATTTGCTTTATCGTCGGTCAAACATCGTAAACCGTAAAGTGTCTTATAATTTGGGACGAATGGAGTAGAATTTAAATTGATTTGTAGTTGGAATGAGTCCATACCCTTTGTGTTTTCGATTAAGTAAGTTTGTAATCTCAAGGGAGAACATTAATTTTGAACAAAACTGGGTTTATAAAAAAAAAAGATTTTGTAGAGTGTCCTAGGGATTTTTGTGAACAGAATACGTTTCATCAATTTGAAATATGTGATTTTTGGTATTGTTCTTATAAAAAAATCGTATGTTATTTGTGTGTAGGATGAATAATATTTGCAATCTTAAGTTTCACCATGGTGGTTCATGGGTTTATAATATACATTTGGAATATCAAAATGATGAAGCTGATGTTATAACAAATTCTGATGTTGATTTTCTTGACTACGAGAGCATAAAGAAGTATGAGATCGATTTAAAACTTCAAAACATAAGGAATGTTTTTTGTGCTACAGCCTGGAAAGGGGGTTGACACGGGTTTGTTTCTGATCCATAATGATGTCTCGCTTAGAAGAACCCTGAAATACATTAGAAATATATGTGGATCGTAGAAATTATATGTGCTAGTTTTTTTGTTGGATTTTAATGGGCAGCTTTTTTGTATTGTAAACTGCATTTAATACTTTATATATTTCAGTCTTTCTTTCCTTGTTTTTTTTTGTACGGGCTTATTTTATTTTAAATTAGATAAATGAGTTTAATTTTTTTCAAATGAAATGCTCCTGGACATAAGAAATGATGTATTACACTCTTCCGTTTTTTTAAGGGACTCTTCCGTTAGTAAAGTGCCCAGAGTTAGTACTCCTGTTAGTGGAGGGGCCTCAATTATCAAAAAACGTAATTTTTGGAACTATTTCACCCCAAAAATAGGTTAAGGTCATATTTCCATCTAAAGTAAAACATTAGGGTCATTTTTGCCCCTTTTCCCAAATATATATCAAAACTCATAAATTTTTATGATTCACATGACATCAATATTACATATATAAAGTTTAAAGAAATTTAAAAGTTTAACCGGTGCAAGTTTTTCAGTCCCACAAATTTTGTTACGTAGATTCAAATGTTAAAATTAAAATCTTATGGTTAATTTTACATTTTACAATTATTATTAATATTTTTAAATAGGTTTGAAGTAACAACAAAAAACTTAAACTCCAAATTTATTTATTTTTACAAGAAAGTTTTGACTTTTTAGGTCATAATTATTTGGGGGAAAAAAGAGTAAAAGTAAAACTTTGATTAAAAAGTTTTACTATGTGAATACATTGACAATGCTAGATTGTATTAAAAACTTAAATGCGTATAGACTTGATGGGAAATTTGATTTAAAATAGCTAAAGTTTGAACTTAAAGTGTCGATATATTTTAATGCTGTAAAACTTATGTGTTTGAACTTAACGTTGACCAGAACTTGGTTGCATGTCTTATTAGTTGTCACTAGTATTGTCCCGTGCGATGCACGGGACAAATTCCTTTTATGGCGATGTTTGGCAAAAAGCTTATCAGCCAATTTTCAGCATCTTTAACCACAATTAGATGATTTGACTCTCTAAACAATCCATTTTATTGTTTCGTAAACAGATTATTCTCTTAACTGTTTGGACACAACAAGCCGAAATGAGATACGCTAGGCTTGGCAACGTTTTCAATCGGATGGTTGATTAATTTCTATTGTACCCTTTCACTTCGTATTGCTGCCGCTTGAAAAATATTTTTTTAGTTGCTTTAGTTTTGAGTAATTGGGTCATTGGGTGTGAAGATGTGTTGTGCTGCTATTCTACACCGTCGTTATTTAGTAATTGGGTCATTGGCTTTTAGACTTTTGGTTGGTCCTTATTTATTTGTCTACATGTTTTTATAATTTGTTTATTGGCTTCTTTCTAGTTTATAAATTGACTTAAATTAATTATTACAAGTATTATAATGGCTATTTGAATATTCTTTTTTGGTTAATAGAATGATTTTTATTGGTTACCTATGTGAATGTATCAATTTCTAACACCAAAAGTGAGTTATAAATTACTAATGTCCTAAAATTTCTAAAATATGAACAATTTATATATAATCAAATAAAATTAAATACTAATGTCCTTATATATCTTTTTACACGCAAACGGTTGTTCTTAGACAGCTAATTTACCAAACATTTATTGACAACAAGCTAACATTATCAGCCAACTAAAACAGCTGAGACAACCAGCTATTTTCAATCAGCTATCAAAACCAGCTAACAGCTGACGGCTAACAACCGATGGCCAAGCAAGGCCTATATTTTACTTATGATACTCCCTTCGTCCCATAAAATAGTTCTTGCATTGACTTGGATCGGAGTTTAAGAAAGTGGAAATAAAGTGGAAATGTATGGTTGTGGTTGAGTAAGAAAAAAGTAAATGGATGTGAGCCACACAAAACTTTCCAAAAAGGGAAATGTGAACTATTTTTTGGGACGGCCCAAAAAGGAAACCGGGAACTATTTTGCGGGACGGAGGGAGTATATACATTTGAAATATCAATGTAATATGCGTTTAATGTTATAAGCAACATTGAGACTGCCATTTAAGTAATATCCACAAATGCAGCCAAATAAATTGTTAAAGAAAAATTCCCAGCCCGTTTTCACCTCATATTAGGCATTAGCCTGTATAATCAGTCCAGTGAATATCTCTATAGCCCTAGGCAACATACACGTAAACTCCAGATTAGTCATGGACTCGGGTCAATTTTTTTTCCTTTTCCTAATTACCCCCCCCCCCCCCCCAAACCACCCCAAATGGCCCAATATACCCAGCCCCACCCGAAAAGATAAAAAACATTGAAAAAAAATTAAAAAACCCAGAATCAGGTCCGCACCAGGAACCCCCCGGGACGGGCCTACCCAGACTGGTTACTGGCCAGGCCACCGGGCCGGTTCGCACAGTACCGGTCCCGGGCCGGTTCCGGGTCGGGCCACCCAGCCCGAGTCCAGGACTACTCCAGATCATTGTCACCGGCTCCCAATCCATCCCCGTGCGAAACATATACATGGGAATTAAAAATGCAAACAAACTTGTATGCTTTTAGTTTGGTCATTTTATATGCGTACTTGTTCTTTACAAGATACTACGTATTAGATGTTTTGGCAGTACTTAACTTTTAAAGTGAATATAACCAACTCTCATAATATTAGGAGAGCATAATTTGGGTCTTCCAACACCATCTCGATCAACTTTTTTCTTTCCGATCCCCATTATACTCACTTGGCCTAGCTAGCTACGAAAGTGAATTGACCTTATCATGCACCTTACACTTCCCATGATATATGTTTGAGCAACTCCAATGCATAGGGTTTATTGTAGCTGAAGTGGCAAAATTTTGGACAAGGTGCATTGATCATGTGGGCCAAATATTACCCAAAGAGAGTGTTCATTCGGATAGCTCTCCAATGCAACACCAAAAAACTTAAATCAAAAAAATAATAAAACAAACTAAAATAAAGTGAGTGGGTGTAATTGAACATAGGCCCACACTTTTTAAAATTAAAGTGTGGGGAGGTCGCATGGAAGGTCCCAACATAGACCTTGGGTGAGGCCGAGTTCCACTTTTGCAATTGCCACATAAGCTAGACCAGGTCTATTTTTTATTGCAATGGGGGGAGCATGTGCAATAGCACATGACATTTGATGATGTGGAGGTGCAATGCACCTCTCCATTGGAGTTGCTCTTAGTTGTGAGAAAACATCAGTTAGCTCTAAAAAATAAAAAACAAAACATGTATGTCAAACAACATACTAAAAAGCTCCTTTCATTAACTTGATGAGCGTTTTGAAGCCTTGGAAATGATCTGAAATTGTACATCATCGTTCTCAGAAACTTGCCAGTTGCCATCATCAATGAATTCCACAACGTTAATTTGTCCCATGGTTGAAAGTGATTGGGAATGCACAATTTGTTGTGTTGTATTTCAGAGAGTTGAAAGTTACAATGAAATTCCGTAAAATGTAAAGACTCTCTTCCTTTATCTGATCCTTAAACGTGAAGGTCCAATTCTTTCACGGCGAATTGAGGCATGGATTATGTCACCCTTAGTACAATCTAATTAGATTACAATCACAGGCAGATAAATTTAGAAAGTCACCCTTAGGACAAATACCTCATGAATGTGAAACACACATTCATGTGTTGATCACGTTTTTGTTGTTGAATGCTGGACAACCATATGAGCGCACCAGCCGCACTCGCAACACCCAGTTTGTCTTGGACGTGTTAAGCTCTGATTTCATGTTGGACAACATTCTCACGCTAGACCAGACTCACGATGCAACAATTAAGCAAAATATTAAACACTATGTACATAAAATGATATTGATTTTACATTATGAAATATGGACATAGGATGTAGAAGCTTGCTGCTATGTGTACGCCTGAGAATTGATAGCTTTGATTCATCCTGTTGCACGGTACATATAATGGCTAAAGTGGGTAAAAGCTGTATTAAGAAACCACCTTGTGCAGTTGTGCAAGTCGTGGAAGTTGAAAAATAACTGCACCCACGTATGGATGCTTCAAGAAGCCAAAGAGTTGACACGTGGTTACCTCAAAGAATTTCCAGGGTAGAGGACCGTACATATATTCATGTTTCGGACATCTTATTTAAAGGTTTTCATTTCAATTTTAGGAAACAATTAATAATCTTAAATAACAAATTAGTCATTAAATATTAAAAATAATACATTTATAACATCACAGTTATCAACACTAACTCATCCCAGGATGTTGTCATTTAACAATGAAGTATTTAACAAATACTATAAAAGGGACTAAAAAGTCTAGCCAAAAAAGACACTAACCCCTTATATTATATGCCTATTAAATTATTTCTCAAAATATACTCGAACTACCTTATTTAATTATTTTCTAAATAATCGTGTCATTTTATCATGAGAACATTTTGAAGGACGAGGAAGTAATTCGTTTCAAGCAAGACCAAGCAGCTAACTAGGCCAAAATTTAATCCCCTGGACATGTGACAAGCAAGGCTTGGGTCTACTAACAATAATATAAGTCTTGGAACTGGAAGGTCGAAACATCGCTATTAGTGTAGAACTCAAATGTAAATATTTTTCCTTCCATCCCGTAAAAAAAATAGTCTTTATTTTTCACTTTTTTTCATGATATAAGGCTCAAAACATTCAAATTTAATAAATAAATAAATAAATAAATAAAATAAAAGGATCATAACTAACATTTACCACCAATTAAATAATAAGTGGCTCAAAGCCTCAAACCTGTAAATTCATAAAATTTAATGATCAAACGTTCTATTGTTTGGTAACAAACTGGGAAGAGTACTATGGAGTATGTTGCTATTACAGAATTACAGAATTACACACAGGAATACAGGATGGTAAAAGAATGAATGAAACAATAGAAGAGAAGTTCAAACCATCACAATGTAGTAATGTACACTAGCCAATAGGCAAACCTCGTTTTGAGCAAAGTTTAGCCTTTGTATTACCCGCATGTAGAACTTAGAAGTGCCACTCCATGCGATGACAAACTATACAAGTGAAATCACTTGCCTATCATCACTATCATTTTGAAGGAAACAAATGGCAAATGCAATAAATAGCTGTATGTGGCCCAGCCTATTCATTTATTTCCATCAAAATTATAGTAATTGAAAGAAATAGAGAGAATCCCATACGCTTCTCCTGATGATTACATTTCAGCTTTCGCTTCCCCGGGCACTTTCTTTCAATAACTGAGCAACAAACACTAAGAGCTCCACCATTTCAAACCCAGCTGCAGAAACAAAGTCCACCTTTTCTTTACTGGACAGGGTAGAATCGTCATATAACACCTCATTAGTGCATATCCCATATTCAGCATCCGGCACTGCCGACCAACTGACTGGGAGGGAGCTCCCCAGTGCAATTTTCAATAGTTTCGCCTCATAGATAATATTCTCCAGAGATTCAGTCGAGTTATTCGTCATTGCATGAGTGCACTCTTTAATCTATATACAACATTTGCCAAGTTATAAATGCTATTCACTCTCAGCCCAAGCATCACATCTCAAATTGAAGGACAGGTTGCTATAGTATCCCTAAACTCACTCGTACAAGGCTTTTTTGGGATTTGTCCCAAAACAAATAAGTAAAAAATTCCCCAAGCAGATAATATAATACTAATATGGAGCTAAGGTGAGGTTTGTGATCCTAAAAAGTTAACATGAGGGGCTTGCATAACAAGTAGTTGTGCACTTACCTTCAAAAGTGAATGCCGTAGCCTTCGAATTGAAGATGTTAGATGCTCCATGCTTTCCAAACTCTCTCTAAGGGTTGCATTCTCAACTTTCATCCTAGAGAATAAGATGGAAAAAAATCCAATGATATGCTGAGTGTCCTCAGTTTGTCCATTCGGTTTTAATCTAGTATGTAACTGCAAGAAGTTAAATACTTCACGCTTTCATACTAGTATATAACTGCAAGAAGTTAAATACTTCACGCTTTCCGAACTCCATCTCAGGCTAGCATTCACAATTTTCATCCGGGAGAATAAAGCTAAAAAAATAATCAAATCCAAGATAGGTCGAGTGCCCCACGTTGGTTGTTCCTTGGTTTTAGTCTAGTATATAATTGTGAGGTAACCCACACATTTTAAAGATTCTTTTCAGACTCGATTTAACATAGGATTTAATGCCTAGTCAGAAGGTGATTTGTGAGGCATCCGCCCACTTCATGGATTGGGGTCAATTACGGATTTCTTGTTCATGGACTGCAAACAAAAATATTATACATAGTACTAACCTTGCAAACCCTAAGCTGTAAGATTCAACATCATTTCTTTCTGAATCAAGTGTTCCAGCCCAGCGTTTAAAATAACTTTTCTTTAGCAGATTTTTCAACCTTCCTTCTCCATCTTGAAAAGTGTTTTCCCCTCCAATCTCAGAATGATATTTTGATTGTTTAATATCATGATCGCCTTTCCTACAACATTTCATGATCAAGCGGTGAACATTTATTTTACTAAGGCTGCCGGATTTGACTTTCAAACACACTTAGTAATAACAACATACTGTAGAAGCAATTGGTACTCCTGCTTCAGTTGTGCTAGTTCCATTAGAGCCTTCACCTTCTCATTCGTAACCTAAACAAAATAAGATTTATATCAGTCCAATTCAAACTTGTAGGATTACTACAATGATAAGATTTACCTGCAACAAGTTTCTCTGAAGTTCATCAATCTTTTTCTGAAGTACTGCATTCATATTCCTCTGTAATAGCTGTCGTTCTTCTTCTTGTGATAGAAGTAATAAAGCTGCAACCTGGAGGCGGACAACATAGAACCAATAAGAAAGGAAATTAGCTCATATTCACACTATAAGGATACATAATGATGCATCATGGAGTTGGGGACCTTCTCTTGTAATGCCAGAGCAAGTGCTTCGGAGGTTTCACTGTTAGCGGTGGTGTTTGAGAGGTTCGGGCCAGCCTCCTGGCAGATGGAGATAAAAATTCAATGCTGCAAGAAACACATAAAAACCTCTGCATGTTTTTTTGTTAATTATATTTATCTCCCTGAGGTTTGGTCAAATTACCAAACAGAAGTTTCTAAAAGTTACAAATAAAACCTTAAGACATCATAGTTTCTGCAGGCGACACTGAAAGATATACGAGTATGATATAAGAATATTAGAAGGAATTGAGTTTTTCCATGCTAAACTACCCTTGATATTGGTCTTAGAGACTATTTTGAAGAACACTTGAAAAATTTTAACAGGTAAAGAGCATTTGAAAACACAAATTCAATCTGAAGACACACAGTTCTTGCTACTATCATTATTCAATAATATCTCAACGTTAAAAGGGTCGTTTTAAAAAAATCTTACTGCTTACAGAACTTATTTATAAGTTTTAGAAACTTAAAAGGGTCATTTGATAATTTGACCAAACCTCATGGTAGGTAGATGTAACTCACCTTTCTTGGTTTATTCCTTGTTATTTGTTTTATTTTTTTGATGCAGCAATGTGGGTTTACCTCTTTGTTCAGTTCTGCATTAGACTCTGTATTTATGTGAACATCTCTACATTCACTTTCTTTCAGATTATGCCCCTGATGAGAGACTAGCTCTGTCCCTCCGTTCAATTCGAGCTGCCTGATTCTTTCTTCTACTGCATGAAGATCATATTTGAGCTGGGAATAACCTTCATCGAGTATGCTAGTTATGTTGATTCTATTCTGAGAAAGAAATTCACGTAACATAGATAATCCAGCCATGATCTTTTCATCTGTAAGAATCTGCAAGATGGTTTTTATCATATAACCCATATAACAAAGAAACCTATGGTTTGTCCATTTTCAAAATATGAAGCTCCCTAGTCCTTACTTTCTGCTTTTCCAAATCACGTACTTTCTTCTTTAGATGACTTTCTATTTCCAAACCCTGATGATACAAACAAATATGAACGGGTCGACAGATGGTAAATAAACTGAAAAAATCTATTTGTACACATAATTTGTACACACTTTCTTGTGTACACATACATCTCGTTTAGAAAAAAATAGCAAGTGACTATGTACACAGACGGGTGTAAAATATACACAAAATGTGTATGCCCCCTAGTTTAGAAAAAGGCAGCAATTGTCAGTGTACACAGAAAGTGTGCCAAGTGTGTACACCAAGAATGGTTGATAAAAACTTGGTTGCAGAAAAATAAACATGAAATGCAAGCTACGGACATACCACTTTCATCTTGTTCCGAAGATTATCCAATGAGCTTCGTAAGGTCTCCACATCTTCTTCTAGAGAACTCTGTCTGAAGAAAAGTTAGCACATTTAAATAAAGAGAGAAAACGTATATACACATATTCAATTCATTTTCAAATATGTGCTTAAAAAAGGTTTTGGCCCTGCGGGTTTTAAGCTATGTTGTAAAAACCGGACCGGAGAGCGACCCGGAGCAATGGCCGGGTCAAGGGTCAACCCGGACCCGGCGGGTCAGCCCGGTCAACGACCGGAAAACCCGGTCAACACATATATTTATAATATTTAATATTTATGCATATATATGTATGCATATATATTATAATTAAAATGCATAGGTAGAAAATGTTATTCCTTCATAACTTAATAATGATGATACAATATAATCCAATTAAGAAACCATTATTTTAGAGTTGGTTTTAACAAAAATTAAAATAGATTTGACATCCATTACAAAATCTTAAAAATATAATAGAAATATAATTTCACATATAAATGAAATATGAAATATAATATCGAGTATACATAATGGGAAGTATATAAATATATACTGACTATAATATAAGCAATATATACATTATTATTATCATTATGAATTCTTTAGTAAAGTAGTAATATTTAATGTTTAATAAATAAATACTCCGTATGCTGTAATTCAAAAATGGTTCGTACTTATGTAATATACAACCAAAAGCTACACAATCATACAACAAAGGACGTTGGCTAAGTGGAATGGAAGCGTGAATGGTTTCCAGGCAGCGCAGGTTCGATTCCTCCGTATGCCATTTCTCCCATTCTCCTGGTTTTTGAAAAAATGCCGGGTTTGTGCGGTTCCGGTTATGTCTCGGTTCTACCCGGGTCAATGGGTTTTCCCGGTTTTCATCTGTTTAGCGGGCAGAGGGTTAACCGGACCGGATTGGGCTCCGGGTGACCGGGTTCCGGGTCGACCCGCCCGGTCCGGTTCGGGTCTTACAACATAGGTTTTAAGGTGATGATTAATTTCTTCGTAAATGGACTAATGTGCCCCTTTTTTATTTTTAGTTATCTGATGAAGTAAACAGAAGTGGAATAAATATGAGAGTCCAGTGTAATCATATTATTATGTTATTGTTTAGTAAGTTTCATGTATGTTGTGTTGGATGTGTGGACATATTAGGACATGAGCATTTGAGGAATGAGACAATCAAGCAAAAAGTGAGAGTCACACCTATTGAAGCTAAGATGCTAGAGTCTTAGTTATGGTGGTTTGGTAATGTATGTAGAAGACGGAGTGCTTGTTAGACAAATTGCGAAGTGGGGAGATGGGGAAGGGAGGAGAGGGGGGAAATCTAGACAGGCAAGGATCATGGATGAAACTGATCAAGAATGATATGATAATACTTGAGTTATATGAGAGGAAAAAGTCAAGCGAGAGCATGCATGGGGAGAATTGGTCTTATTTTGTTTGTCTCCCTCTTTCTTAATCTAATGTTTTTAATAACTCCGAAATCATATGTTGATTCATGTTAACCTACCCCTAACTCTTTCAAGAATAAGTCTTGGTTGTTGTTACTGTTTACTTTAGTAGGTTGTTAAATGCACTTATTTATGGACAAGATGCATTTAGTTAATGGACACTCTTTTATAAACGAAAGGAAGGAGTACATGTTAACAACATTACTGTCTTAATTTTTAGAAATTATTGATTTGTAATTTAAAGCATTTCAAAATATGCAAAGAGAATATTTTCCCAACTCGTGACACGGTGAAACTTCCAAAAGTCAATGGTACATCGACTTAAAATCTACTAATTAGTCATTCCAGAGACCAAGACTAAATGTAAACAAACTAAACCACATTTCCTAAGCTTACTGTGTAAGAGGTGGAAGTTTCTTCATCAACATTGAAGCTCCACATTTCCGGTGAGTCCTGCAGTAGAGAAGCACACTTGGCTTCCCAGCACACATCCTCATTATCCTCCAACATGTTTTGTCTAATGTTATAAAATTTATTAACAACCTGCAGTCGAGAATGTGAGTATGAGGTCTTCCCACTAGGGCTTATGAAGAAAGAAAGCAAACTCCCAAAGGCATTCCTTGTCAATAAATATATCTTCATCTCTTTCAAAGAAAGATCGAGTATTAAACAAATGTAATTATCTATTCTGCTTCAGGTCAAAATATTAAATAAGGACCCAATTTTGAAGTACCTCTCTGAAAACCTCCAGCTGCCTTGATTGTTTTCTAAAGTCACTATTTAGAGTGGTAGTGAGTTCTCTTTCCTCAAACAATTCAGAGCTAAGCTTTTCAATGCTGTCCCAACAATGACAAATGAAAAGACATATTAAATCTATAGTTTAACGGGATTGCAATACAGATCTTGAAAATTTGAAGAGAATGATCAAATATTTAGCAAGGGGCCAAGAGAAAAAGTGAAAGACATTCCCAAATCCCAACTGTTAAACAGGAAATAATCTGCTTCCAGATTTAAACCATGTACCTTTCCTGAAGTTTATAGAAGTCTCTTGAATTCAATTCCTCCTTTTCTTTTGCTTTCTCAGCCTACAAAATTACACAGGAGCAACAAATGCATGATAGTCAGAACATAGAAGACGATTTCATTCCAGCCAAATTAAATGTTAGATATCCCATACTCCCTCCGTATTTTTTTGTTTGCTACACTTTCCTTTTTTGGATGTATTCAAAAATTTGCTACACTTTCCATTTTTGGTAAGTTTTTCCTTTAAAAATACTCAACTACCCTTACCTTTTCTACTTTTTATCTTCTCTTTCATACTTTTCCACCATCTCTTCCACTTTTTCTACACTATTCATTACCCCTACTATTTCACTCTTAAAAAATGTGCCAACACCTATTGTAGCAAACAAAAAAATACGGAGGGAGTATATTTTCTTTTTATGCCCCTGAATTCTTATTTTTATTTTCCTTTCTTGTGGAGTTAAGGGAGATTCTAAGAAAGGTTGAGAAGGAACAAAATTAATGACCTCCAAGAGAGCGTTGTCCCGCTCAGAAAATGCAGAAGCAACACAGCCTTGAAAGAACTTAAGCTGCTTTTCTTTTTCAATGTTCTGCAAAATTAATAAAAACAGTCAAATGTAGCAAATGGTTTAATTTTAGGTTGATTGTGGAAAAAAGATGGAACGGAGAAAACCTTGGAGACTTCGGCACTATGTAATTCCGCTAGTTGACTCTGCAACAAAGAAAAAATGATCAAAGTGAGTATAAGAACAAAAATATATACAATTAACTGCTAATAGCTTTAGGAGATTATTTAAAGACACGGCACAAAGTCTCACCTTGACGTGATAGGCTTCTGAAAGCTCTTCTTGGAGATTCTGATTTTCTCTTGTGCAAGCAGCTAACTTCTTTTTTAAGTTTTCAATCTCCTGTTCTAAAGCAGCTGTCCTAATTGATAACAAAAAAACTCAACAAGCCTCTTAGCAGATAAGTACACCGAGAAGACAAACACATACCTGAAGATATTGCAAAGGTGAATGAGGACTGTGTAATTTTTGTACCTGTGAAGATGCATACGAGTAGCAACGCCTAGATAGCCAGGTCCGCCTTGCTGCATACATAGCTGTTCAATGTCTTTATGCAAGTCATCACGCTCTTGAAATTAAACCACCAGTATATTAGAGGCAATGGCAATGACAATTTTAATCAGCATATGATAATGTAATAATAAAAACTATAAAATATGAGAAGACGTGTGTGGCAGCAGCATTGGTGATTACTGGTCTAATGTTGTGACACTACTAAGTACTAACACTAAAATGAGATTTGAGAACACAACCCGCATGTGTAGCTCAACTATTGCTGAATGAGACAGTTGGATTGAGGTATCAGGTTCAATCCCGGCAGCGGCAATGTGGAAGTTTCATCCAATGTGGTGACTTCTTGTGCGCACCAGGCCCTGAACCATCTCATTCAGAAACTGTTTGAGATCATACGATAATCTACTCCACAATATGTCAGGTCGGGTGTGGGGAGGTTGGGGTGTGGGGGTGCCTGGATGGGCGACTCCACCTTTTTTGGGTTGAGATTTGAGAACACATGTGCAAAGGCTACATATTCTGAATTCTACTTCAGACGTCAGCAGAACGCATACGTAGATGACAAATACAAAGTAAATGACCAAAAATCAGATTTTGCAAACAAATTAAGTCTTAAGTTCAAGTGTTTAACAATATGAACCAGTGTGTTCTCTATTTCAGTGATGTTGGGGCCAGTAAAGTGAACAACGAGAAGGACAAAATTTACAAAGAGAAGAATTTGGCATGAATAGACCAAAAATTGAACTCCATGTTCATAGGAAAAGTAAAAAAGAAAGAAAGAAAGAAAGAAATGAATGCATATTATATACCACGCTCCAATTGCTGAATACGAGCATGCAAGCCTGTATTCCCATTCGTCCCTTCCATATCTGAAAGAATGTTCAAGTAATGAAACAAACACATGCAGTAATTTTGAGAAAGTTCAAGTAATGAAACAAACACATGCAGTAATTTTGAAAACGTATTCATGCATTCATACATCAAGTGATCAAACCATAACAACCTTCTAATCAGTGGTCACAAATTCATTCAAAGAAAATGCGGTATCGGAACTACTAGATCAGTTAACTCATAATTCTCCAATCAATTAACAAACCCACACTTATTCAGAAACTTTGTGATTACAAGTGCGCTAAATGAAAATGATGGGGAAGGAGAGGCTAATTGATTACGAATACCCCTCCACTCAATGATTTGCTTAAACTGGAATAGTGGAATGACTCTTCTCTTCCTTCCAATGATACTGAGCTGAGTAGCTTCATATGATATTTTCAACTTTGCACCCTCTAGAAAACAATATTATCCCAACCCTCCCAAAACCATGTTCCTCTGTCGTTTTAGAATGTTTAACTAACCAAAAGTAATTGTAGAGAGAGAGAGAATAAGAATCAGCAGTCTGGCATCCTTCTTCCAGGGCTTAGTTTTTCCGCCGCCTTGGCTTCCAGAGTTGGTGGGGAAGTTTGTATTCTTGGTTTTGGGTGTTGGTAGCTGAGATGCGATTATGGTTTTCATTGATTTTGGGAAGAGTTTTCCATCTGCAACGGCTAGTATATCTGAAGTACTGGTGATTGCTCTAATTACCGCGTCTGCACCTGCATCTGCGTCAAAGATGGCAGCAGCAACCCGAATACCTGCATCTGACTTGGTGGATCTGGTGTTGATGCTGATGGTGTGGATCTAGATGGCCGGCGGCACTAGATGGTTGGGCAGTTTGTTCTGGCTCTAGGGGCACGATTTAGGCTTCTGAGTGCCGATATCAAGATTCCCCGAGCTGCAATTCAGCCGTAGATGGACAGTATGAGTTTCGCAATGTTGCCTTATCTGGTTTGTTATGATAATGAGCTGCTTATTTAGTAGTCTTCTTCTCATGTTTTGATGCGGAGGGGTATGTTTTGTTTAAGGGGATGGGAGTTTATGTCATTTTCATTGTGGGGTAGGTGGCGAAAAGAGGATGCTATTGAAAAACATGGATGTAATTTTTTTAAATTTAAAAGACGGATCGAGCGAGGGCTGGCTCTGTGAGACAATGTTTACCCAGCGTTTATAGCATGAAGGAAATTGTGGTTCATCGGCTGGTAGGTGAACAATAGAGGTCTCATGTGTGGGAAGATGGAAGGAAAGGTGCTCAAGCTGAGATGGACATAATGTTGGATGAATCAAAAAGCGGGAAGAAGGAGCAAATTACACCATACAGCCGGTTGTACGGTGCTCACTGTACAGCCGAAATTTTGTAATTAAATCTGCATCCCTGCAACCCATCGACGAAGCACGACAGCCAAATCCTTTGCACAGGCTCTTCCAGGTTCTGGCTAAAACATGTACGAAGTAGAACATTTTACAGGGGTTACCGTCTCTAAGGAGCAAGGAATGAACCAAACAGCTTCGAACAAAGGGATTTAAAGGCAGTCCATGTTAGGACCTGGTAATAATCCAGTCCAAAAGTAATGGAAGAACACACAGATATGATAAACTCAGGGGGAAATATTGTTTATTGATAAAATAGGGTAAACCGTAGGTAACAAGGGACAGGGACAGGGACTTCTTAGGCAACAAGGCAACACTCAATATCCAAATAACAGTCTGCCTATTATGGCTACCCCAGCTTCTATTTATAGCAAAAGTCCACGCAGGAACTAAATAGACAACTAAATAAGCTATAGGCACTTCATAAGCTATTTAACTCCCCTAACCCCCTTATTTAAAACTACTGATTAGGCTGATGCCTAACAGTCCACCGATATAGTGGTAACATGGGCATCCATCCCTTATGAGCCATCTCACATAAAAAACCTCAAGCAATCAAATCAGTGAAATCACAATCACGGAGGTAATCATCAAACTTTCCACACTTCTATGGATCTATCTCCAAATAATTCATACTAGAATCTCGATCTGATTTAATTCAAAATTACGAGCTCTACTCATTCAGTTTTGCGTTTTTGTTGCAGGAGTCATTGCGGACGACAATGATGGATCTAATCATGTCCGCTTCCCGCCACTTCTATCACATACACAAATGAATATTGAGCACATCATAAATGAGCTTTATGTTAAACTCAATTGAGTATAACGCCTAAAATGAATGTGCATACACAAATGAGCTTTTTATTTTTTTTATACTCGTTTTGTAAGTTGTTTATGCTCATTTGGTACCTGTGCTATGCTCATTTTAATATAAGACTTGATTATAGACACGGAAGCACAAATCATGATGTTCAACTGCATGATTCTAATACTCAATAGAGGAGATTTGATACTCAATTAAAACTTCTCCATGATTAACTAAAAAAACTTACGATTTTCATATCAACACTCATTTTATATGTTACATTTGCTCAATTGGTACTGATGTTATGCTCATTTTTAAAATATCATATCAACGCATATTTCAAAAGTATCATATTATATTAGATTCACTTATTCAAATTCATAAGAATTAATTATAGATATAATTTTATAAGTTTTTATACAAGAAAAAATAAGAAAAGGAAAGTGAATTAGAAGATATAAAGCAGAGATCACGATACTCAATATTAAACCTCTAATGCTCAACAAAATATGTTTGTATAGTCATTAAAGATTCACTAATGCTCATTTAGTGGAAACCGCGAATTTCCATTAAATTACTAAAATGCCACCGGCTGTACGGTGTTCACCGTACAGCCGGTGAACTATATACACCTCCGGAAGAAGGCGGGCTCTAGTTTCCAAACCCGCCTTGGTTCTTGGATGTCTCAGTTTTCTCTTATTTTGTACTCCTTAATTTTCTGGTAGCTCTAGATTTTATTCATGATCGTGTTCTGGTTCTTTTCATAGTAATTAGGATTCAGATCCAAGTGAAGACTAGAGGAGTCAAGTTTTAATTAGGCATGGCTTACAGATACCCGCTTCATGGTCAACATATTGCTCTTATATGGGTAATTGATATTTTATTTGATCCTAGGATTCGTGATCGTATCATGGATTTTTGTATGGTTGTATGTCTTCGAGTTCAAATTGATTTAATATAAGCCCATTTACCACAAAAAAAAACTAATCAAAAGTAATGATTATTTGACCAGGCTTGAATTAATAATACTCTCTAATTATTAACACCTCACTATTCAAATATACTCAATTTTTGAATATAGATACTTAATAGCTTTAACCACTAGACTGAAGAGTAAATTTTATAGGACGTCAATTAGGCCTACATTACTGTATGGCATAGAGTGTTGGGCGGTGAAACAATATCACATTCAAAAGTAAATTTTATAGGACATCAATTAGGCCTGCATGAGTGCTGGATGTGTGCACATACTAGAAAGGATCGCAAGAGGAATGAGACAATCAGACAAAAGATGGGAGTAACACCTATTGAAGATAAGATTTTGGGAGTCTCGTTTGCGGTGGTTTGGTCATGTACATAGAAGACCGAGTAATGCACCTGTCAGACGAGTTGAGATATGTGGAGAAGTGGCAGGGAAGAGAGGGAGAGGAAGACCCAATAGACATGGATCAGAGAAGTCATAAGTGATATTCTTCTTCTTGGATGAGGGTATGGCTTTGGAGAGAGCAAAGTGCAGAAAGGATATTCGTGTAGAGGAGTGATCTCTTATCATCTTTTCCCCCTCATCTTCCTCTTTTTTTCTTGTTTTTGTATCTTTTATCTATATATATATATATATATAATATACATATATATATATTCTTTTTATCCTTTTTATTCTATCATTTTATGTATATCCATCTCTTTTTATATTATTTTTTATCATGGCTTATCTTTCTTATCTTTCTTTTCCTTTTAGTTACAATATCATGTATAGATTCATGTTAGCCAACCCCAAAATCTTTCGGGACTAAGGCTTAGATGTTGTTGTTGTAATAGCTTTAACCAAAAATTTTGAGAATTGTGAGTATATATTAAGTTTTATTTAATCACAAAGTACAATTTCAGATATAATAAAATTTCACTGTGTAGAAACCAAAGAATAAAAAATGAGTTAACTTGACCACGTAAATAATGAAAAGAATTTACTTTTGAAATAATGTATGATATGGCCAGACGGCTAGTCCATATAGTTGCTTCAAACAAGTTAACTTGACCACATAAATAATGAAAGAACTTAATTTTCAAAGGACTGTACTAGTGCAGTATATGACTTGTCCATGTGGTTACTCGATTGACATCTCTTCACTCAAACTTTAATGCATAAAAAAAGTTGTCCCTCCACTCAATCTTATAATTATATCATCAATATATAATTGATGTGCATCACATGAGCTGGGATTTGGGCAGGCAGATTGTGTTGAATATAAGCTGGGGCATGGGCAGAGAGTAAGTTGATGTTAAACCACCTGAGGGGGATTAGTTTTCAAAAACAGGTGTGAATTATTATACACTACATAGTCACCACTATTATAACAGAAAAACACAACCAAAGCATGTCCGTAACAAAAATGACAATCTAAGTCTACCACCTAATCCAAGAACACCACAAAGAAGCCTACAGATCACGACAAACGTACATGGATCACCTACAGACATGTTTGGAAGGAGAGGGGGGAGAAAACTCAAAACAGTCAATAGAAGAAACTGATTTGGGCAGCAGTTTCAGCTTCAGCTCTACTAAACATAAACAAGAAGTTTAGCTAAATGATTGGAAAAAGGGAATAAAAATAGATAACATAGTTCAAAGAAAGGGATTAAGAAAAGCCAACTCATGTTTTCACTCTGTTTTCGTATTACAAAGATGACTAGCAGCTGCTGGAAAGGTGAGATTTTTGGACTGATTCATCAGTAAGATTCAAGAAATATGACCCAGAAAGCATTGGTTTTCATCCAAGGGTAGATCGGAATCCGATAGCAATACTATTAGATCAAGAACAGAAGTTACAGAACTGCTGGAGGAACAACTAGCAATTATCTTGTCTACGAAAGGGAACCCGGGCTAGAGGAAATATTGCAGCAACGGATGATTCTAATAAAATACAACTGATGCAAGTGTGATTCATGATTAGCGACAGATACTACATATTTTAAATTCAGTTAACAAACATAAAAGTATGATCAATTTATAAACATAGATGCAGGCTCAACCGCTGAAGGAGTATATTAACGAAAGTTCTATGTGTAACAAAATTTAAATGAATCAAATGAATAGAAGTAGACTATAAGTATTAAGTAGTGATGAACAATTGAGCACAGGAGGATGTACTAAGTACTTACTTTTATTTTAAAAAAAATAATAATGATGAAGAAGTACTGATTTGTTTACCTGGCTGAAATCGGAATCTTCTGGAGCGGTGCGGTCGTGCGGTGGCCGGTGGGTGCAGAGACACAGGGTGCGGTGGTGCGGTCTGTGAAGAAGACCAGACGATTTCCTTGCTGATAGTTTTTACGAATTCCGTCGCTATAGTTCAGTCGTTTGGGCCGATCTATGTTTGTTTTTTATACCATGCTCCCTTCTACAGTCCTTGCAACCGTTTTGACTTTCACGTTTGACAATGCACAACTTCAACTTTGATTGTAATTATATTTAATTATGTATTAGTAAACATGATAAAAAGTTGATACTCCGTATTTTGGAAATTCACATTGATAAGAGTTCAATAACATTTTATACGTAATAATTTGATTGAGTATATTAGTAGAAAATCATGGTCAAAGTAAGATATGTGAATAGTGTAAAAATCACAATGTTGCAAGAATTATAGAAGTATAGAACGGAGGAAGTATCATTTTGGGCCGCAAGCCTAATGGCCATACATGAATTGAGGCTGGGTCCAAAAAACAGAAAACTGAACCACAAACTAAGGATGTTTTCTTTTGGACTGAAATTTGCTGGTCTGATAAACGTCTGGTCTTTGTGTATTTTATAATTACGGAAGTCTGGTCTGATCTGATATGGGACTGAAAACAGTCCAAAAGAAAACATCCTAAGGGGTGTCCCCAATTCGGATTGCGGAGGATTTTAATGGAGTTTAGAGTTTCATCAGGACTCAGGTGTCCTAGATTTGGAATTCTGTGGAAATCCATGAAAATAAGAGTGTCCTAAAAAAAATCCATGGATTTCTGTTGTTACTTATATGAATAGATTTTGATGGATTTCTACATACAAAAACAATCCGTTACAATCTTGTTGACTCCCCTCGGATTTCAAAATCCATGATCTTTTAAAATCCATCAAACTCATAATTGGGGACACCCCGCTAAATCAAACTAATTAATATATGAAATTTCATTTGTTAACTATTATGGATTAATCCTAATATCATTGATAATATTCAGTTTTCTTGTGCTAGAAAATAAATGGTTTGTGTTGTATGTATTATGTATTTTTATTAAATGTTACCGGGTGCCAAGTACTTTGTGCTCTGATGGCATCAGTGTGACACTCCCAAGGAGGAGGTCACAGGTTCGAATCATATCCCAGTTCAAGGATGTTGACCATAACATAGAATAGATACTATAATAGGTTATAAAGAATTGCCAAAAAAATAAAAATTACGGGGTAAATTACTCCATATTAAATTATATATGTGGTTTAGTTTATAAATGCATTTACATTTTAATTTCTTACAATAATATAACTATGTTGATCATTTATGTCTTTTATGTGTGTATTTTACAGTTTGATGCATGATGGTGATATATGTTTTTGTCTTGTTACTAGTAACTTTTATTTTTATGTAACCAGAGTTTTATATTAACAAAATAAATAAATATTTATCTCAACTATACCTCAATATGAATTTTTTTCAAACTAATCACAAAAAAATGTAAAATAAGAAAAGTGAGAACAAATTAGTTACAAGGATAAAGTATTGTGTATTTGATATACTCAATAACCGTTTATAATAGTACCCAACGCGAATTAATACTAGCGAGAAATTAAGAGAGCATTAAACTGATTGTACATGTAAAATGTTCAACAAGTATGAGCCTTTTGACATACGTGAAGGTGACATGTGGCTGCAACTGAGGTGCTCGGTGGTTCCCGGCCCTAGCCTCTTCCGTATGTGAGTTACGGACGAGGCAGAGTGGAGATGTCCCCATATTACAAATGAGATTTCTTTGACTCTTGATGGATGGAGTGGTCTTTATCTTGAGATATCCACGCCGGTATAGACATGACCATGTGTCTTGGCTAAGTGATCGGGGCCAAGCCATAATAACTTTTTTCCTTCAATGATTTGTATATGGTGTCTTCATCAAAATAGTAAATAATTAAGTCTTACTTTAGCCACAACTTTAATCAATCACTTGGTGTAGATCATAATTATCCAATATTTGATTAAAACAACGAAGGGGTGTGTTCATTTTGAAACCTCATTAGTGATTATCTAATTTTTGTCTCATTTCACCTTGATCTTTAGGCCACATAGTCTGATCTTGGTAAGATGTGTAGTTCATTGAATTGCATTCTTCAACTATAATAATTTCATTTGGAGAAGTATATAGAGAGATATGGTGAGATGATAGCTTAGACACAAGATCATCCTAAACCAAATTCGTCATTGTTTTAGGCGAGGTCCAAATTATCGTTCATCCTCATATTTTATGTTGTAATTTTTTAAACCCATTTTGGATTATTTTCCTTAAAATCTGATTAAACCCTTCCAACAACACAAACACCGCATCTAACCAAAATAGTGCAAGAAATTTCGCTTAAAATGTTTAAAAATGAATTTGTACACATTGAAATGTGTTGGAATACGTGCATACAAGTGATAATACACACAATACGATCAACAAGCTTACATAACAATCAAATTCATTTAAATTATTTTATTTATTATTGTGTATTTTGATTTGAATATGTGTGTGTTGTGAGAAAAGCTGTAAATGGCCACACGAATGTTTTCAAAATATTTCACTACAAATACTTAAGAGTGCTTCTCACACTTAGCCAAACACATTACTATAAAAATATATCTTTTGGCCATCATGCATACCAGGTGTAGATTGCACATAGTGTACAAGTTGTGCTAGGGGTGGGCAAACGGGTACATGAACCGCGGGTCGGGTAATACGGGTTTGGGGCGGGTTAGGGCCGGGACCTAGTTTTGAAAATTCAAACAGGGCGGGTCCTAAAAAAATTAGGAACCGTATGAGTATTAGAATTTGAAAAAACAGGTACCCGGACAGAACCGTTTTTGTTTAAAAGTCTATTATATTTAGTAAAAAGGAAAATGGTCAAATAGGCCCTCGAACTTACATAAAAAGGTCAAATAAGCTCTTATATAGGACTGCAGGGCCAGTCCTGTCCATTGTTGGGCCTATGGGCGAAATACTATATTGGGCTTATACCCAAGATAACCCGCAAACTATACATATCTAAAATATGGTTTTAAAAAATGTTACTAAAACAAAACTTATTTACACAAATATAACTAATAGTAGTTACTAAAATATAGTGTTATGGTTACTTAAGTATAAAAATTGAACATAAGTTACTATAATTTAGTTACTACTATAGTCACCAGTCATACTTTTGTAAATCATCTTTACTATAATTTAGTTACTACTATAGCTACTAGTCATATTTCTTTAAAATATGAATAATAACAAAATATTGAATAAAGCTCATAAAATAAAAGGCAAAATTGACTTTACTATTATTTAAATTACATATTTGGGCAAAAGTAACAACACAAGTACTAGATAAAAAGAAAAAATATCATTCAAAATGTTTCTGGCAGAACAATGCAAAGCGAAATCATCAATAATCGCTTAAAAGGAATAAAAAACATTAAAAGGTTAAAGAGATCTGAAGACTAAAGAGATATGTCTTTTATTGATTCAACAACAATTGTGTTGCTTTAAAAACTACAACTGGTCCTACTTAAAATTAATGTATATTCTTTTTTTAAACTCGACTTCGTATAAGACATTTTACTTGTGTTTTATTTTCAACAAAAATAAACATTAGGCCTAATTAAAAAAGAAGCCTGCTCAAAGTATATATGCAGGAAAAAAAAAAATTGGGCCTATGTTTCTTTCTCTATATATTTGGGCCTAGGGCGGTCGCCCCTGTTGCACCCCCCTCAGAACCGGCCTTGTATAGGAGGCTCTGTTCGGCCGTCGCCATTTGGGGCAGTTCCTGATGAAACTTTTTGATAAAATTTTTTGAGCATCTTATTCATTAAGTCTAGTTTACTCATACCAAATTTTAGCTAACAATTCGATCGGGAAGGCATTCAAATGAATTCTTAGTTAACTCCGCAGTTATCTTTAGGAATTCATGTGAATGCCTTCTCGATTGAAGTTTTAGCTGAAATTTGGTATGAGTAAACTAGACTTAATGAATAAGATGCTCAAAAAAATTCATCAAAAATTTCCACCGGGAACCGCCCCAAATGGCGACGGCCAGACAGAGCCTCCTATATAAGGGCTTATTTGACCTTTTTATGCAAGTTCGAGGGCCTATATGACACTTTTCCCTTAATAAAATATACTATGTACTAAAAGAACCCGAATTTTTTCATATTCATGAATGATTAAAAAGAGCTGCTACTTTCTATTTCCATATAAACTTTTAAATTATCATTCCTAATTCTTTATTCCAAATGTATCAAATTTTCTTTATTTTTTTTAAACAAATACTCTTGCTCAACAAAGTGTGACATATTACTTTAATTATCTTAATTTTACTTAAAACTTGAAATTTATTGAGCTTTAAATAATTTTCTTAAACATATATCTCTAATGACTAGTCAAATTTCTTATAACTTTGTGGTGCTCTTTTTAGTTTATGGATGATGATGTCTAATTTTGTACATCTCAAACTTTGCTATTATTTAATTTGTGTAGTTCTGTGTTATTTAATTTATACATTTGTGGTTAGATTTTTGTTAACTAACTCAAAACTTTGTTTTATATTTTTATTTTGAATATTCACTATATTATGGTGACATTGATACTTAATTAGTTTGAAACTTTTATTACCCACTCAATATTTTGATAGTGTAGCAGTATTTTTTACGAACCGAGAATCTGGATCGAACCGACCCGTTTCTAACGGGGCGGGTAAGTCCAGTTCCTATTTCGAGACTTGGAATCATGCAAATTATTATTTTACAAAATATTGCCATTTTAAGATAAGGAGAATGTCATTTGTACACTTTGGTTTACACTTTCTTACACATTAGGCGAGTCAGTTCGTCAACCATGTAAATTGTTTGTCCAATGAAAACTTGTAAATTGTTTACAGGGACAACTATCAAATGTGAATAACATTGATTCGTGCTTCCGTAAATAATACGCTCACGTATTTACTTTATACGTACTGAAGTCTATGTTGTGCTTATAAAAACAAACGTCTCTCATAGATATTCTTATACGTAGTATATAAAATGGAATTGTGGAAACAAGTGTGCAATGATAAAATAGTTGTAAGAACGTTATTTCTCGGGAAGGATCCA